AGCTGCACAGTGCCTGCCTGGCAAGTGCAAGGTCCTGAGTTCGATCCCCAGTACCAAAAAAAAAAAAAAAACTTTGATCATTTTATTAATACTCTAAATCAGTGCCTAGTCTTATAGACTAGATCAGTGCCTACTTTCTGAAATGTTTAAAATTAACTCCTACTGAAATATCTTTTTAAAAAAACTACGGGGCGGTCAAAATGTACAGTGGCTAATTTTTTTAATTACAGTAAAAGATACATTGCCATTAATCCTTCTCAAAATACTTCCTCCCTTACTTTGAACACACTTATCCCATCATTCTTGCCATTTTCTGAAGCAGTTCTGGAAATCCTCTTTCTTGAGTGTCTTTACAAGGTCTAATCACAAATTCAGTGCCATCCAACAGAAAGACAGGCTTGTAAAAACGTTAGTGTCCTCAATCCACCAATTCACTGAATCTGGCACAGTGGGACTTCTTCCCGAAAATCAAAATAACCACAAAACATGCAAGTTTTGAATCTATTCAGGACATCAAGGCAGCCAGGCAGCTGAACTAAATACATCCATGAAAGAGGACTTAAGAACTACTTCAGAAAGTGACAATAACAATGGAGCAAGTGTTCAGAATCAAGGAGTATTTTAAAGGGGAACCAATGACAATGTCATTTACTGAAATGAAACTTAAATGTTCACCATATTTTATCACACCTCATATTCTTAACTGGCTAAACTGACAAATTCCTACTGAGATTCTTGTTTGGCACTATGTATAACTTAATCTGAAAAACAAATCTTAAAAGATATTAGCTGGGCCAGGGATTTAGCTCAGTGGTTCCGCGGCCTGCCTTGCAAGCGCAAGGACCCGAGTTCAATCCCCAGTACCAAAAAAAAAAAAAAAAAAGATCTTAGCTGATGAATTTGTTGCCTAGAGAGCACATACAAGGTTTCTTTACCTCGCAATAAAACAAACCTTGAAGCCTGTAGAATGTAGGAAACAAATGCAAACAGAAGAGCCTATATTTTCATTCCTCATGAATACAGTCTACTCTCGAAACTATTTTTGGTCTCCTAGTTTTATGAAAGTATCTTCAACTTTCCCTCTGAAACACTCCAAGTTTAGATATGAAAATTCAGGCACAGAAAAGACAGTGGGGCTTTACTACAACGGAAATTAAGACCCTTCCCTTCGAAAGAGTCTTTCTTACCAGCATTCTCTTCTCTGCCAGCTGTCGACACACAGTGGCTACATCTTTGACATGAGTGGGAAACCTCTGCTGCCAGTGGTCCATGTTTGCTGACTTGTTGCTGAACTGCACTTTATCAAACATAACAGTTACAGCACTTTCTTCAAGCTTTTCAACCTCCCCATACAGAACAGGAATTCTCAAAACAGCAGCTCCTAGAGATAGATACATGCACAATTTTAAAGCTGACTGGTTCCTTCCTAAGTTTTGATGGTGTATGGAACAGTATCAAAGTATAAACCCTGCCTTTTAATAAAAATATGCCAAAATAGCACAGTTCACCTATGATGCCAAATTAATAAATACGACACTGAGTATTTTTAAATATGTTCTATCATTTGGGATACTTTTATTTGCAATCCCTACATTAATATAATTATTAAAAATAAAACCTATCATGGCAACTAGATGCAATGAATAATCCTAATAAAAGCAATAAAAAGCATGTTGGGGACAACTGAAAAATTCCCATATAGACTATGTATTTGATTACAATGCTATGTTAGTGTTAAATTTCCTGTGTCATAACTACATTGTGACATTGTTGAAGTATTTTCTGATTATATTCAAAAGGTTTGACAAAAGTATACATAAAAAACAAACATGCCAGGCCAGGGATTTAGCTAGGTGGTTCCGCCGCCTGCCTCGAAAGCACAAGGTTCCAAGTTCAATCCCCAGTACCAAAAAAAATAAAATTTATGGATTTAATATGTTTCGATCCCTGGTACCAGAAAAAGAAAAAAAAAATAGCAGTAGAATTAATATGATAAAATGAAAAAAAATGGAAACAAAGTCTTTGTAAATAGGGAGGGATGGAGGGGGTTGAAGGGAGGGCAGGGGAATGGGGAAAAAAATAAAGAACCAGGAGAGATTATGTAAAGGTACAAATTCCCAATGATGAATGTCATTATACTGTATACCTAAAATGTACCAATAAAATAATAAATTAAAAAATGCCAAAACTTTAACAAGTGCTGAATATACGTGAAGCATGTGTGTTTATACCCTGTACTTTTTTACATTGGTTTATTTTTTTACGTATTACATTTTTGGAGGAATTGGTACATATAGTGTATCTTGATCATCTGCCATCCTTTCCCCCTCCCTACCACCTTCTTTTTCTCTCTTCCCCAATCCCCTTTTTCCATTTCCAAAAAGTCTGACTTTATTTTACTCTTTATTTATAGTTCAAGTTTCTCATGTAAAAAAAACCATATGGTATTTTACCTTCTGGTTTACATTGTCTTAGAACCAATGATGAAGGAATTTTGAGGTATTTAGATTCAGTATTACTCGTTGCTTAGGAGTTGTAATAGTCTTTAGATAACTGGCTTTTTTTTTTTCTGGTACCAGGGATGGAACTCAGGACCTTGCACTTAACTGGCATTTTAAATTGCAAGTAAACATTTTCTTTTATTAGATAAGTAAACATTAAAATATTGCTATAGTTTGGATGCTGTGTCTCTTCCACACATCCATGCTGGAAAATTAACCGCCAATCCAACAGTATTGGGAGGTGGATCCTCTTGAAAGATGTTTAGGTTGTAGGGGCTCCGCCTTCTTAGATGGATTAGTGCTGTTTTATAAAACAGTTTGATGGAGGGAGCTCATCCTTCTTGCTCTCTTGTTTTACTGTCATGTGAGAGGACCAGCAGCAAAAAGGCCCTTAACACGTGCTGGCACCTTGACATTTTCCATACAAAACCACATTTCATGCTTACCTCGAGACAGTACTTAAGAGGGTTTCCATTCTTTTTCTTAAAATCTATTTCAAAAATTGTTGTAATTTGTTATACTTTCATTCTTTTTTGTTTTGGTTTGGTTTTTTTGGTACCTGGGATTGAACTCTGGTCCTTGTGCTTGCGGGGCAGGCAGCGGACCCACTGAGCTAAATCCCTGGCCCTATAATTTCATTCTTATAGTTTTAAATTTCTTTTAAAATTTGTTTTTCAGGGATACACTTATATGCAAAACAAATATAGGAAAAATGAAAAACCAAACATAAGAGAATACCTCAACCTAGCAGAATACTTCAATCTAAAAGAAATTGCATTATTTTTTGAAAGTAGATTATAAAACTTAGCACTTTAGGATTTGTTTTCTATATATAAAGATGTGTATATATACACTATAGATGGAAAAAATCGAGAATTCATTAAGCAGTTATCCTTTGGGACCTTAAAAATCCTTACTTTTCCTTTTTATTAACTATGTTTTCTGATTTCTATTTATATTCCTTGTCTTTTTCAATTAAAAACATATAACCAAAAACCAGCCCTCAAAAATAATCAGAGGCTAAAAAAAGGGTCTTACCTAAATTATTCTCCAGGACAGCCTTTTCTCCTTCCAATTTTGTTTTGCCATACAAATTTAGGGTAGCTGGTATGTCTTCCTCCCTATAAGGTGGATTTGTTCCGTCAAACACATAATCTGAGCTAATGTAGATGAGAAATGCTCCAACTGCAGCTAACAAAAAATAAATAAATTAAGTCTATCAGATTTTCACATGACATTATTCTTTAGTGGACTTTAGAAAACTTTGTTCTGCATGAACAAATCCCTTATAAGTCATCTATAAAACTTTTGTCTTCAAAAACTCAGTGATTATTTAATATTTCATGAACATTTTATAAAGTCACTATTACCTGCTTCCTTTGCTAAATTCCCAGAAGCATCCACATTAAGCTGAGAAGCAGCATCTGGCTGATTCTCCACAACATCTGGTCTTCTCTCTGCTGCACAATGTACTATGACATGAGGCTGGAAGGTAAACCATGATGTATTTTTAACCCAAAATGGAATAAAACAGAGGAACTACAGCTTTCCTAGAGTAAATGAAGTCAGAGAAAAATGTTTCTTAAATCGACATTCCTTCAACTAAAAATACCCACCTCCCCCCAGTATCAAGGACTGAACCCAGAGCCTTATGTGTGGTGACATCCCCTAGCTCTATTTAGTTGAGACACGGTGTTGCAAAGTTGCCTAAACTGGCCTTGAACTTGCAATTCTGCATCAGCCTCCCAAGCAGCTGGGATTGCAGGCATGTACCACTGTGCATAGCTATAATTTTTAGTATAGTTCTGTCATGCTTGCTTTCCCCATCAAGGTTCAAAGTTCTTGAAAATACATATGTAAGTCCTGAAAATGAAAGAGCAATTCAGTAATTCCTACACAAAATTAGAGGGAGGGGGGACTATTTCTGTTCAAAAGAAGTTTCATTTCCCAATCTGGACAGAACAGAGTTGTCATATTGTAATTAATATGAGAAATAGCAGAGTGTGGTGGTAGACATCTGTAATCCCAGCACTCTGGGAGGCTGAGGCAGGAGCATTACAAGTTCAAGCCCAGTCCCAAAATTAAAAGAATAAAAAGTTGCCTTGAATGTGTTACGTAGCAAACACTCCATAATCCAAAGTTTTGTTGTTTGGTTTGGTCTTTCTGAGACAAGAGTCTTGCTATGTAGTTCAGGCTGGCCTCGAACTCACTACATAACAGGCTGGGCTCAGACTTGCAGTGATCTGCCTTCTGAGTGCTGGGATTATTACAGGTGTGCACCACTATGCCCAATCCATAAACCAAAGATTTTTCAGAATGCTTCATATTACTGTCTTTGTCAACCAATGTCACATGCTAACCTTTTAAGAAGTACTTACATCTTGCAAATCTAAAACAAGTGTATTACATACTGTTTCCGCTGAATATGTTAGAACTTTAAGGTACAGTAACTTCTTTGGGAACAGGTACTTTTTTTATATCATCCAATTTTTAACATAATTCATGCATACATTAAAATAAATAAATGAAAGCATACCTGAAAATCATGAATGATGTGATGAACTGCTTCAGAATCCAGCAGATTAACCTGTTCAAATTTTGGCCTTGCTCTTCTAAAACCACAACCAGTGGCATGCCAGTTGTTCTGCTGAAATTCTTTGTACACAGCTCTACCAAGAAGCCCAGTCGCACCAGTAACCAGAACCCGCCTACTGGGGACGTTCACTTCCTCCTAAAGGTGAAGAGTAAAACTTAATTTACTTGAAAGTAATTCTTTTACAGAAATGAGTCACCATTGTTCAATACATACCTCAAATCTAAGTTTTCTGATTCATGCCACATATCTCCAAGTCAATTCTAAAGTCAGACCAAAGCTTAATCAAAACTACAACCACAGTTTAAGTTTCAGTAATTCCAAGAATGCAAGATGATACTTAAGATAATTACCAATTTAGATTTCATATCAATAAGGCTTTATTTTTGTATTGATGATGTCCTACGGAGTAATAAACAAGAATGTTGTTCTTCAGTTTATAAAAATGTACAAGTGGGCTGGGGATTTAGCTCAGTGGTTCTGCCACCTGCCTCTGAAGTGCAAGGTCCCGAGTTCGATCCCCAGTACCAAAAAAAAAGTACAAGTTTTTTGGTATGGTGTGGTGTGTGGTGGCACATGCCTGTAATCCCAGCACTTAGGAGCATGAGGCAGGAGGATCCACAGGGGTTCGAGGCCAGCCTGGACTACATAGAGAGTTCAAGGCCAACCTGGACTACAGAGACTGTCTCAAAAAAAAAAGAAAAAAAAAAAAGTACAAGTTTTAAGCTTATTTTATAGTCTGATTAAGCTTTTGGGTTATATCTCCTAATATGATTACAGTGTAAGTTGACATTTTTAGTTTTTATTTCTTCCAAATGTCAATGATTTATTACATTTGGATGGGGGTCAGAATTACTCAGAATTTCAGAGGAATTTACATAAAAGAAATTAATTTGTTCCGTACAACAGAGTACAATATGTTTTCTAAGTTTGACCAAACGGTACTTTTTCCTGAGTTAATTCTAAATTTACCATATGTGCCTATAGTTAAGAGGGATTAAACACAAAGGCTAAGGAAAAATATTTTAAAATGGTCAATCTTGTTATTGTGACAAAGAAAAATTCCTTGTATAAAGAAGTTAGAAAAGAACTATGCTTTAAGAAACAATTTAAATCTCTATATCCAAGGCAGTTTCAAAAATCTCCCTCTTCCCAAGATAGGTAACATTATATTCCCTTCTATATTCTTAAATAAGAGCCCAGCATGGTGGTGCATGCCTATCATCCCAGCACTCAGGAGGCTGAGGCAGGAGGATTGCCAGGCCAGCCTAGGTAGGCTACATTGTGACTTCAGGGCTAGTGTGAACTACAAAGTTAAACTCTGTCTCAAAAAAAAAACAATATTGAAAAAAGAAAAATTTCATTACATTTTACCATCTTTGGCTTTTTTATTTCAAGGGTTGTTATAGTCACCTAATTCTGGGCCATCAAAAGCTTTATGTATACAATAACAAAAGACTTTTTTTTTTTTAGCTTTTACTTAGTCAGATATGCTTGTTTAAAGGGCACCAAAATCTGATACCTTTAGCATCTCAAAAACCTACCATAAAAGGGCTGATAGAGAATTTCAGTGTAAAAATAAATTCCTAAAACATTACTTCTTGATTTAACCAATTTCAACACACTTAAAAGGCTTAAAGAAATTTTACATGGGCTCTCCTGCAACATCTGGCTCTAAACCAGCTGATTAACAAAAATAAGAACTTCAGGGGCCGGGAATTTAGCTCAGTGGTTTCGCCGCCTGCTACGCAAGCGCAATGACCCGAGTTCGATCCCCGGTTCCAAAAAAACCAACAACTTCAGCTAGCAAAATAATTTCTTCGAATTTTGGCAAGAAAACAGCTCTAAGTGACTTGAATGTAAGGAAGAAAAAATATGCCAAGTCTAGTAGAGAGGGAAGAAAAGAATTTACAAGGGATAAACACTATAAAGATTCCTGGAAAGATCTCAATACTAAGGAGGCAGAAATGGCCTAACTCCTACTCTACTGTACCACACAGACCTCGTTCTTAACAGGAACCACTACAGGTGTTTATCTAACATCAACGGTAAGACAGTTCTCGTTCTCAGTAGTGAGTTTTAAGAGGTTTTGAGACAGCAACAAATATGTGCCAAGCTCTCAATTGTACCATCTTGAACAAAGAAAAATATGCAAAGCCATTTCCATTTCTTTACTGAATTTCTACTGCGAAAGTAGATTAAGCTTTCAGAGCGCGCACACACACATATACACGTATGCATATATATAAACAGCGCATTTATTCTACCAACTGTAAACATACTATATTTTGAAAGCATGCAATTTTTGCCATTAATAAAAACTGCCATCTCCTGTGTTATAAGACATATTGGTAATTTCTGGGGACCAGTGAATGCTAGGGGACTGGGAAGGGAGGGTGGGAGACACCAGGGATGGACCTCATCATGCTAACTACAGTGCTTCAAAGACCTAGGCGGCCAAACAGACCTGTATTTGAAACCCTGCTTCGCTTACTGAGCACAAACTTGGGCCAAAGTCTTACCCTCTGTGCCTCAGTTTTCTCATCTCTAGAAGGGAACAGCAACAGAATCTCAGAGCTGCTACAACTAAACAACATCTTACGTGCAAAACAAAATCTGCCTCGTACAAATTAAGAGTTGAGTAAGTTAGTCATTTCCTACGCTGTCATTTCTGAAAAACTACCTTCGCTTCTTTCTCAAAACTACGAACAAAAGACGAAATAAAGAAATAATCAAAAGTGAAACTTCACCCTCCCCCTCCGTCTGCGAGAAGAAAACAGAGAACTCAGAAAGAATAAAGCAATGTCGCCTACAGTGCGAGCTCCCGGCCCCGCGCTGGGCGCCGTGGTAAACAAACGGCGGCGCCACCCCCCGGCTCTGCGGCAGGCGGCTCCGGCCCCGAGGCTCGCACCGGGAGGGCGGCGTCCGCAAAACCAGCCGCGCCTGCAAACGGGGCTCGGACCCCTCGGCGCCCCTGCTTCCCACGAGGGACCTTGGCAGACTCCCTCACCTCTACCAGTCGGCAGCACCCCGGGACAAAGTGGATGGACAGTTCTTTCTCCCGCCCCACCATGCCTGCCGTCTTCACGCCGCCAGCACGGCTCCGACCGCACTTCCTCCGGGCGAAAACGGCCACAGAGCGCAGCGTCGAAGCCCGAGGCCCGCCTCCCCCAGGCCCAGGACGACCCTCGCTCGCCGCTTCCGGCTTCCGCCGCTAGCGCCGCGCCTGCTCAGTGGCCACGCTTCGCCGACGCCCTAGACTGGGGCGGGCGCGCTCAGGACGCTCCCGGCCCACGCGCCAAGTCTTAAAGTGGTACACACAACAAAGGCCCTCAAGGCAAGCAAAGACTACAATTTTGATTGGGAGTGTGGGTTTTTTTTAACTGGGGAAGGACTGAATTCAATAGCCTACAATTTCAAGTTTGCAGACTGTGCCCAATGCATAAAAAACAACTGAGCATGTAAAGTATAAAGTAGAATAAAATACTTTTGAAGTGATGGATGATGAGAGAAAGAAGGAAAACAGGTGGACTTTATCTAGAGAATTTAGGTGTCGGTTTTGAAAGACTTAGAGACAATGAATAAAAATAGAAGTGCTGCCATCTGAGTCATCAACACATCAGGAACTATTTGTTTTTCTGGGACCCTAAAAACAGTAATTGTGAAATTCTAAAAATGTGAAACTACTTTCAACTAATTAAAAAGTGTAGGGGAAAGGAAAGATAATTAGCTGGATATCTGTTGAAAATGCAGATTGTCAAATTTTCACCGAATGACAACTGTGGTAGGAGAGTCCCAGACCTTGCTTTTTGGTGAATTTAACAGGCGTCAGGACCACTCGATGAGAAGCCCCGGCTGAGGGCTCGACCCAAGCCTCAGGAAGCAAAGCAAACCCACCCAGGAGCGCAGGGAGCGCGCGAGGCTGGGCGCTCCACCACCTGCCTCGCTTCTCAAAAGTAAATCGATAACCGAAGGTGACGATGCCGTGTACCGCTTCCTGAATTCCCTACAGTTCAAAAGTTCAAGAAGCGTCCCCGCCAGCCAACCTGGGGAAGTTTACCCAGTTTAAAAAAAAAAAAAAGCCCTGCACAAACCGTGTAGGAGTCGCCCACTTTTCACCCAACAGCCCGAGTGGCCCCCTCAAACACTAATAGGAGATTTAAAAGTTGGCCACAAACGTGACCTCGGTGTGGAATTTCCTCAGGCCTGTTTCCATAATCCTTGTTGGTTTATTTTGATGCTAAAGACGAAGCAACCTTTTAAAAAGGTCTTTTAATGTCAAAGACTCCTGACTTTCCTTCTTCCCCCAGCCCCCAAATAGCTTATTTCCTTATTCATGTAAACATAAAGGTTTCTTTACAACAGAAGGCAGCCTGTGGTCTTTTTTGTGATTTTTTAAAAAAAGAATCCTGGCTGTTATAAGTTCATAAAATTTAGCATTCCTTGGGGGACTCCTGAAGGAACTGCCAGAGCACAAAGCAAGTACGAAGTGGAGACAACAAAGAAAACGGAGGAGCTGGGAGCAGATCTCAAAACTTCTCACCCTCCTCACTTAAAATGCAGGAATTAAAAATTGCTTTCAACAGGAAGATTCAAGGACTTAAATAAGCAACTAGCATTTTGATTCTCAAAGCAGCACTGAAGAAGGAACAAAAGTTTGCTTCCCTACCATTTAAGAATCTGATTTGATACTTGTAGGTAAAAAGTTCTACGGCATATGCTCGAGTACGGTTTTAATCATTTTCTTTAATGAGGATAAGAGCCCATATTAATTAAACGCCATCTTTTTCACAGATGTTATCAACTTCACCTGGTAGCCAAGGGAGCAGCCTGGTACTAAAAGTTAGGTTAGCAGATTCAACTCACACAAAGACAAAAGCTGGAACACACGACAATCAATAAAAATCCCGACATGCAGAGACCCTTCATTAGTTTGGTAAATGAAACGGCTGTTCTGTTTTGCATTTTAGTCGACTCCTGGGTCAGTAACTCAAGTTGGTTTATTCTTCGGGATCCTAAGATTATGTTTTAAGTCAATGAATGCCGCCCGTTTCTAGCATTTTCTTTACATATCCATTCTGCTTTATTACCAGGCGCCTGCTGGAATGCTTTCAAAGGAATTCTTACTCCGAATGCTTCTTTTCTTGAACCAGTAGCTCTTACCTGTTCCATGTCCTCTGGCATTTCAGGCATGACTAGAATTATTTCGGGAAAACAGAATGGAAGAGTCCCAACGTCTACCGTCTCTGGTCGGGTCTTTTGTCTGCTCCTCCCGCACCGAGCTCAGGCACGCCAAAACGGGAGGAGACGCTCAGCTTGACCTTTTAAATTAGCATTTTGATTCCAATCCCGGAATCTCTTGCACTTTTCCACAGTGCAGTAAACTGGCAGCTGATTCCCTGTGGTAGTTTCGAAAATACCCAATGAAAAGTTTCATGTTTAATTTCCAATCAAGCAAGGATTCTTACAAAACCATATAGTTGAATCAACTATTAAGCTACAACTTCCTGTCAAGAATTAACTGAATTTCTCTTGCAGAAAGAATAAGCTAACAATTGGAAAGCATACAGTCCATGCAATTGTTTCCTGTTCTGAATGTTTTATTCAATCATATCTTATTATAATAAAATGTGTTTACTAAAATTATCCAATCCCTTCCCCCACCCAGTGCTTTCAGATTCACTTGGCTTGGGCGGGGGATTTAGCTCAGTGGTTCCCCCGCCTGCCTCACAAGCACAAGGTCCTGAGTTCGATCCCCGGTACCAAAAAAAAAAAAAAAATTCACTTGGCTTGAAGCTGAAATCTAGCTATTCCAGAGGCCTGAGGCAGAAGTATCTCAAGTTGAAGAAAAGCCTGTACAATTTAATGAGACCCACTCTCAAAATTAAAAGGGCTGGGGACTGACTTAACTCAGTGATCTCTGAATTCAAGCCCCAGTACAGGAAGAAAAAAAAAATCACGGGTAGAAAAGTCCAAAGACCTTTTCCTTTAACACAGTTCAGCCCCCTGACTGAAAAACTGGTAGGTGGAATGGTCCTAAATTTAGCTAGGCATTAAGGACTTGTAGATGCACCACGGAGCCTGAGGAACAAAATCACTCTGAGTCAAATGTAGTTACTCATTTTTTTTTTCCCATTTTTAACAATTTGAATGATGATGAATGTGCTCAGCTAAGCGTTGAATTATTGCTCTAGATTATGGCTCTGTACCAATTTAAAAAAACAACAAAAGTTGCCATTCAAATTGAGCTAAAAAAAAATCTTGTAAGTCTTGGTATTCTACCCATTTAGAATATACAGCACATGGCAACCTCTCTGAGGCATTCAGAGGGTCTATAAATTATGAAGAACATTTTTTGGTGTTTGCATTTAAATACATGTCTTTAAAATTAGCATTGTCAAGATGTAAAAGCTAAAATATTAAGCAAGCATAGGAAAAAATATATGGGAATACTTTCTTCATGACCTAAAAGTAAATATTTCTTAGATATAACAGAGAAATCAAAACTACAACTTCTAAAAATTAATATTCATCAAAATGAAAAACTTCACAATAAAATGTGACAGGGGAAAATAACTCTCAACCTGTTAGATGTGCTGAATTCATGTCCCCCTGAATATCGAAGAATGAATATTAAGGGATGAAGGAGGTAAGAATAGGAAAGGTTTACTAAGAGAAAGCTCATGACAGACAGGAGGGTCAGACTATTTCTCCAAGATTTTTTGTTTGTTTGTTTGAAACAGAGTCTCACTATGTAGTCCAGGCTGCTTGAAGTCCCTGTGTAGCTCAGGCTGGCCTCCAACTCGAAACAATCCTCCTGCCTTAGCCTCCTAAGCTCCAAAAATATTTTATACAGAAAAATCACAACATGGGTACAATGTGGGTCAAACTACAATCAACCAATAGGATTATAAGCGTCGTTGCTTAGCTATATTAATCCAATAGGAAAGCGAGATACATGGTGAGGTTTATGGCTCATTAACTTTAGCTGATCTGTGTACTTCTAAAATAGAAACAAAAAAGGCATTTGGGGGAAGGGATGAGTTAGTATGTTCTGGTCACCCATCTATGTGTCTGATGCCTGCCTGGGCCCAGGAACCACGGGTGCTAATTACAGTATAACCTCAAGTTGCTGTTTATCTCTAGGGGAGGCTTGTAGGCCTGGCTCTTGTGTCTCCATCTTGAGGCTGGACTCTCTTTAGATTTACCTCCAACAACAATTTTGATGTGTTTTTATCTTCTGTATTGACTCACACAAAGGCCCAATTCCTATCTGCCTGCCTATTAATTTCTATCTAACTTAGCTGTCTATAATAAAAAGACACTAATATGGAAATGAATAAGCAAACTGCAGACTGGGAAAAATAATTCCAATACATAGATCTGAAAAGAACTTGTATTCTGAATATTTAAAGAACTCCTTCAACTCAATAATTTGAGAAAAACAATTTTTAAAGTGGACAAAAAAAACCTTTTTTTTGAAACAGGGTTCTCGGTATGTAGTTCAGGCTGGCCTTGAACTCAAAGCAATCCACCTCCCTCAGCCACCCAAGTGCTGGGATTACAGGCCTGCACCATAACACCTGGCTTGGACAAAATTTTTTAACAGACAATTCACAAAAGAAGATATAAGATTGGTCAATGTCTTAGTTACTTTTCCTGTTGCTGATACAAAATATTCAACACTCAAAGTTAGAGGAGGAAAAGTTTATTTGGCTTACAATTTGTAAAAGTTTTAGTCCATTGTTGGCTGGCTCTGAGGCAGGGGAGCATGCCACAGGGGCAACACACAGGAGAAACAGTCCATGACAGGGTAGATAGAAGGCAGTAATCAGGGAAGTAGTGAAGAGCGAGCAGTAGTAGGAAACAGCAGCAGCGAAGCCTCCCTTTATATGCCATCCAGGCTACATGGCACATAGGGTGGGCCTTCCCATTATCCACACCCAGAACTGTGCTAAACCAATTAATAGACTAATCCACACACCCTTAGTCCCAAAATCAGACCACTAATCCCAGCATCACACATCCTAGATCCAGTTGCCTCCAAAAAAGCCCACCTATGACCACATGGGGCTTTGAGGAGACATCTTGATACAAGCCATAGCAGTCAACAAGCACATAAAAAAAAGAGGCTCAACATCAGGGAGATGCAAATTAAATTAGATACACAATGAGATACCAATTTCATATTTAACAGAA